GGTCACATATAGCAGCAGGGGCACGATGCACAGATGGGCTGTTGGCAGGGAACGTTCTCTTCTGAGTGCTCCGCCGCCCATGTTGGAAGCCTGACAGTGAGGACATCGTGAGAAAAGAAGATGGGAGATTAGGACTTACAGTGGAGGGAGAGTGAAGGGACCGGGGAAGTGCACTCTGATTCCTAGGCAGCCCCAAGGACACCCTTGAGACTACTGGTCCTGAATTTTAGTTGAGACTGCTCAGCATAGCTAAGGAAACTGAGACTCGGCAGGGCTAGGTGATGTGCCCAAGGTCTCACAGCTCGTGAGCCACTTTCAGGGGCCCCGATGCAGGCAGTGAATAGGTATAGAACGGGATGGGACCAAGGCTGGGGTTGTGCTGAGGGAGGATGATGGAGGAAGTTGGATACGTGTGAAAGAGTAAGTGTGATGATTGACCGTGGGATTAAAGCTGAATCGGACAGTGAAGAACAGTGAAAAGATAGGACCAAAGTACTGGGTGAGAGTCTAAGGATTGTTGGAGTCAAGACACAGTCGGGGACTGAGTTGATAGGAAAGATATGAGGAGGTGGTTGGAGGGTGAAATGGAGCTCAGGCTGTTAACGGTTGCAGGGGAGAGGGTAGTTGAGGTAGGGTGGAGGACAGGATCCCTGGGAAAGAGGAACTGAGGGAACCGAGGAGCCAGGCATTCCCAATGCTTTTGGGGTCCTAGTCACATCCCTTAACCCACTTCTGATTTCAGCAGCAGCTGTGGTGGACAGCATTCCAGTCTCCCCCGGAGAGCTTCCCACCTTCTCTGCTTTCACTTCAGGGTCTTCTCCAAGACCCCAGGAGCCTACTAGGTTCACAGGCAAATGTAGCGAGTATGGGGAAGATGATACTTCAAGGAACAGCCCTCAACCCTGTAGGGCCAGAAGCCAGGGAATAAATGACCCAGTCTCGGGTCCTTTGGTAGACAATGTTGCGGGCACTCAGGATGCCTCCAAGAGGTCTCAGTGGACTTGAGTCTCCCGTGTTCATGGCCGTGACCTTGATATCACACCTTTGCAGAGGCTTTTCCACCTTCCCTCTTATTCTTCTTGCTCCCTCGTTCCCGATTCCTGGATTATCTCCCAAATAAGCCATTGGTATGTCAAATCCTTGTTTCAGGAGGAACCTTACTAAAACACCAGAGTATTAATAATCTTCCATGTTAATATTGAAATCACTAAGAATTATGACAGAGGTCATGTTGGAGAGAATGATAGTGAGTGAGGACTTAAACTAACGACTGAGCCACCCAGGCGCCCCAGGACTTAAACTAATTAAAGAATGAGCGAGTATGACCTTGGGGGTCGGCACGTGATGGTGACAAGGAGGGTTAGTGGATGGATAGTCCACTGACATCTGACTCAAAACTGCTTCTAGGCAAGAGGGGAGAGGATGGTTTGGAAGTGGCGGTGGGAAGCAAAGAAGACCAGCACCCGAGCTCCAGGCCCAGTGGGACATCAACCACTTGCGAGAGAAATGCAGGAGAAGCAATGACTTCAGGGGTGAATCAAGCTTCACCGAGAATAAGAAAGTAAAGAGAAGAGTTTGAGGAAACAGAGGATTTTACTGCCTGTCCAGAGGCGTGGCAGTTGGGGAAATGGGAGATGGAATCAGAAGGGGGTCAGTACTGAGGGTAACCTAGGTATCGGGACTTCTTGTGGATACAGACAACACAAGGCTAAAGGCATAATGAGATTGGTCATAATAGTGTAAGAGCAGGTACGGGGTGTGTGTGTGCATGCGTGTGCGTGTGCGTGTGCGGCAATAGGGCTGGGTTGGGATCTTGCCGGAAGCATACAGAGTTCTAGTGTCCTCTCTTGATCCTTAGTAGAAGGAGCAGGGAACCCAGGGAGAAACACGGGCTTAACCGAAGTCCTGAGAATTCTGGGGAACAAAGTTTAATAACTAGTTTGAGGCTAGTGTTCTGAAAGCAACTGATGAATTGTCACATGTTCTTTCCGGCTTCTTCATTAACAATTGTTAACCAACACCTGAAGCTTATGCTTTAATCGTATTTTCTAGACAAGGATGAATTAAATAATATGGAGCTTATGATATTCTATTTATGTAATGGAAAACAACCCCCAAATCCTGAAAAATAGGAAAAGTGTCTAAAGATGAAAAATATTGCAAAACAACACCGTGAGTCCCCAGAATTGTCAATTCTTGAAAAACCATTGATTGGGTATATGATTTCTGGAACAAATAGATATTTTAACCAACTTGTTGGGTTGACCAACTTGTATCCTATGAAAGTCAAATTATCTTCCACCATATCAGCTCGTGTTGGTGATTGAAACCAGATCCAAGTCTTCAGATTTGGGATTTAATGCTCCTCTCGTCTGAAGGCTGGTTTCACAGAAAAATATCAACAGAAATATGCTCAAGGCATGTTTTGCTTGAACTGGGGGGTTGAATCTTCACTTCTAGACCTGATTCTTCTTATCTTCTCTGAGGCTGCCTCCCCAAAGACTCAGCCTCTACATCTTTGCTCCTGTCACATCTGTGGCGGTCTCCTCACTCTCACAATATACCCGAACTCTTCTTCATGGAGGAGAGGAGTGGTTAAACCCACTCAAGTTTTCTGACGTTTCTGCTGGACTTGTGTGCTCCAGTGCCCAGGTCAACCTCATCCTTTTTCCCTTCCTCTCCCACTGAATAGTTGCCCAGCAGGTGGAAACTTTCCCTTCTTGGAAAAAGGCAAGTCAGAGGTTTTAAGTCTGGGCTCCTGAGCTTTGCATTCTGCTGCCCTCCAGCGACCACTGTTGGATTTGCAGCCGCTGGGATGGGGAGCGTTCAGAGCTCCGTCTCACGCGCTCCCCCTCGTGGTACATCAGTTAACTACAGGGGCAGGAGCTGCCGTCTGAGACGACTTGATTTGGGGCTTAAGGGGGATTTCAAAGAACCTGGGAAACACACACATACACAGACACGCTAATACTTCTAATACTTGTTTCATTATCTATAATTACACAGACATTTATTCACTTTCTCAGTACCAGAAAAAACAAGCAACTTTATCTTGCCTAATTAGTGCTAAGTGGAAGAAACAGAAATTAGCAGCTGTTGGCCAATTATAACATTTTTATTCATGCTATCACTTGGAGACCTCGTCTAATTAGAATTTTTTTTTAAATCCTATAATAGTAATTCTACTCAAGCTACTATCATTCAAAAGCCTTATCCAATTTATTTTTAAATTCTCTGTTTAGACAGTTTACAAGATAAGGATGAATTATGAAAATAATATCTTAGTAATAGAATTTACAGACTTTCTACATGAAACTCAACTTCCTAATTGAATTAAACCCGAAGTAAATTGTCAGAGTATTTTTCGGTGCCAAAACAATCCAGTCGTTGTAGCACAGAGGATGTGTCTGCTTTATTTTGCTCAATAAATTACTTATGACTTACAAAATTAAAACATCCCCAGGCAACGAAATCACATCAATATATTTTTTAAGTTTATTTATTTTAGTAATCTCTACACCCAACGTGGGGCTCGAACTCACAACCCCAAGATCAAGAGTCACAGGCTCTTCTGACTGAGCCAGCCAGGTCCCCTGGCGTCACATCAATATCAAAACCACAATTTTGCCACTTCGTCCACCAACCTCCGCTTCTCGCCTTCACTCTTTTTGTTTTGTTTTATTTTGTTAGTCTCCAGGGCATCCTTCAAAATGCTCAGGATCAATGCTGCTTGGATTCAGCTTCACTTAGCTCCATCATTTACAATGTGTTGATGATTTCAGATAAGACAGCTAGACACTAATGATGAGCCAATGGACAATAAACATAAGGGGACGAGTAGGGCATAAAATATTTACAGTATGGTAGTAAAGCTGTGCTGGAGAATCTGTCTTGAAAGGGAGGCCAAGTGTCTATTTTTTCCTCTCTTCTCTCTGAATAGAACTCACCCACTCAGGGGCGCCTGGGTGGCTCAGTCGGTTAAGCGACTGCCTTCGGCTCAGCTCATGATCCTGGAGTCCCTGGATCAAGTCCTGCATCGGGCTCCCTGCTCGGCGGGGAGCCTGCTTCTCCCTCTGACCCTCCTCCCTCTCATGCTCTCTGTCTCTCATTCTCTCTCTTTCAAATAAATAAATAAAATCTTTAGGAAAAACAAAAACCAAAAACTCACCCACTCAGTTGTCGAGGCGGAGGCTGGAATACAACAGCCCTCCTTCGACCGGTGCAGCTCACAAGGTTTCAGAGCTGGGGTCCATCCACCGGACATACGCAAGAATCAGCTCAGACTAGCAGGGACACCCGGTTACATTACCTTTGATATGGTTTCCCCTAAATTAATTTGTATATTCAATAAAATTCTGATAAAAACATGATTTTGTTTGTTCGTTTACAGAAACTTGGCAAGCCGATTGAAAATGTATTTGGAAGAAACGTGGAAGAACAGCAAAAAATAAATAAAAAATAAAAAACAAAAGAGAAAGAAAAACAAAAAATAAAAAAGCAAAGGAGGACTTGCCCAACTACATATCAACCCATATTACATTTCCTTTTTCTTTTTCTTTTTAAAGATTTTATTTATTTATTTGAGAGAGAGAGAGCATGAGAGCAGGGTGAGGGGCAGAGGGAGAAGCAGGCCCCCCGATAAGCAAGGATGCAGGACTTGATCCCAGGACCCTGAGATCATGACCTGAGCCAAAGGCAGACGCTCAACTGACTGAGCCACCCAGGTGCTTTACTTTTTCAATGGGGGCTTTCTTTTAATTCTCAGAACACTTTTTTATCATAAGAAATTTCACAGAAGTAGGGGCACCTGGGTGGCTCAGTTGGTGAAGCATTTGCCTTCGGCTCAGGTCATGGTCCCAGGGTCCTGGGATCGAGTCCCGCATCAGGCTCCCTGCTCGGTGGGGAGTCTGCTTCTCCCTCTGCCTTTGCCCCTCCTCCCACCCGTTCTCTCAATCTCTCTCTCCCAAATAATAAATAAATAAAGTCTTTTTTAAAAAAGGAATTTCACAGAAGTAGAAAAACATCACAATGGAACTCCATACGCCTACAGTACTAGACTCATACAGCTGCTTTAACAAATTACCGTAAATGTAGTTGCTTAAAACAATACAGATTTATTCCCTTACCGTTCTGGAGGTTGAAAGTCCAAAATCAAGGTGTTGGCAGGGCTGCATTTCTTCTGAAGGTTCCGGAAAGGACTCTGTTCCTTGCCTTTCCTGCCTTCTAGCGGCTGCCTGCCTTCTGGGGCGGGTGGCTCCCTCCTCCGTCTAGCTGACCAGCAGCACAGCATCTTCTCTCTCTTTGATTCTGCTTGCTTCTACTGCCACATGGTCGTCTTCTTTTTTGGCTTTGACCCTCTTGCCTCCCTCTTACAAGGACTCTTGTGATTACATGCGGCTCCCCTGGAAAATCCAGGATCATCTTCCCGCTAATCAAGTAATCACACCTGCAACATCCTTTTTTGTCCTGGAGATCAGAACATGGACATCCTTTGGGGGGCAGCCTGTTGTTTTGTCTTCCATCCATACCAGCAAATCATAGTCACTCTTGTCCCACGTATACTTTTTTTTAATTAAAAAAATTTATTTTTATTTTTATTTTTTGTCCCACGTATACTTCTAATTTATTTTGAAGCAAGTCCCGGATAGCCTGTCAACAACATTTCAGTATGCATCTGTAAAAGGTAGGGGTTCCATCTAAAAACACGACAATAAACCAACAACGCACCAAAAAATCAACACGATATCTTGGTATTATTTAATATTCAATTTTTCCTGATGGTTACTTCTCTCTTACAGCTGAATCAACACAACCCACAGGGTTGATGTTCTAACTTGTAAGCTTCTGAGATTCCCCACCCTGATCCTCCTTCCATGAAAGGCACATTGTCCCAGCTCAGCTGTCCGCTGGTAACACTCTGTTCGGTCCCCACAGGGACTGCCACTTCACCCGAGGCCACACCTCTTCTGGGAGGCCTGCCTCCTACAACTTCTCAACAAAAAGAATAAAAGGCCCGGCCATCTCCACCTAACTCTGTCTCAGAGTCAGCTTCCTGGAAAATCTGTCCTATGACAGTGGTTACCAGGAAGGAGGGTTTCCATAGAGAAGCAGCTAAAATGGGGTTTTAGAACTGAATCACTTCCTACTATTATGATGAGGACACCATCACAGATTGTTCAAACTTTGTCCAGTGGTGAATTATTTGATATATGCTGGAAGGAAAGCCATTAGCTGGTGGACTACATCAGGTGTCTGAGTAAAATAGGCTAACTATAAGACGGCGACGATGGTAACCACACGTACAATGGTGTTGGGTGGCTATCCCAAAGTACAAGAAAGCGATGATGAAAATCTGAGAGCATGAATTGCCAACTGCAGACTATCTGTGAAATTCAGGAGGTGTCCCTGATAGCTTACACAGAGGCTGTCATCTCTGACAGTAGGCCAACACCAGGCCCAGGGCTCACTCTTCAGAGTAGCTGAGCTCCAGAGAGAGTTCAATGCCCTACAAGGCAGGTCTTCTATGCCAAGGTCAGAGCCTTGATTGAAAAGGAAGAGGAACCTGACACATGGACTGAGGACATCTAGTCCTCAGACATGATGACCTACAGAGTCTTGAATCATCAGATTTCTCTGAAACCTCTGAGCCCGAGAGCCCACCCCTTACCATTAAGAACCAGCTCTTCTCCCTTGGCTTGTTGATGATGCAGAGATTTTTTTTTTTCTTCACACAAGGCAATATGTGCATCCTCTCCAGACCTGAACCAGGGTTAAGTCACAATATAACCCAGTCAAGACTGGGTTGGGCCAGATAAGGGAGAAAAGAGACTACATCCCAAAAGGAATCGCGAGACGGCCCATAGGTGGGGGTAGGGGCTGGGGGGCTGTGTAGGTTACTGCTGGCTTCTGAACGTGCTTTATCAACAGGCCAGGACATAGAGTTGGATAAGGGAAATTTTACTGATTTGGGAGCATTTTCCCAGGATCTTGGATTTCATGCTCTGGCAAGAACCCCAGGAAATGGTGCCAGTTTGCTCCTAGGATGCCCTCCAGGAACGGAGAAGTCATGTCACACTCAAGGAAGTTGGAATGCTAGAACTGCCATGACCGATCGTAGAAGGGTTAAAACGCTCAGAGAAGTGAGCTTGCCAAAGTGGATGTAGTAGGTAGAGCGGAAAATTCTCCTGGTGCTAGTGTTGCCCAGGACGGCCTGGAGGATACATCACGTAGCAAGGCAAGAAGGAATGTGAAGGAATGTCCTGGTCAGAGGATCACCGGTGCGACTCACTATGATGTTCAGGTGTGGCTCTCCTCTAGAGCCTAGGGCTGGTGGTGGGAGAAGTCCTACAGAACTGGCTTCCTGATGGGATCCGGGCTGACAAGACTCTAAAACAAGTCACTAGGTGGCAAGGCTTAACCATCAGAAATTATGTGGACACAATTATCATAATGTACCTTAAGGTCAGCAGTGCCTGATCCGCAGAGAGTTATTGAGATGGTGGATAGAATATGGTGCCCTTGATGGTTTATGTGTCAACTTGGCTGAGCCACCGGGTGCCCAGATAGTTGGTCAAATATTTTTCTTGGTGTTTCTGTGAGAGTAATTTTTGGATGAGATTGACATTTAAATCAGTCGACTTTGAGTAAAGCAGATTGTACTCCACGAGATGAGTGGGACTCATCCAGTCAGCTGAAGGCCTGAATAGAACAAAAAGACCCACCTGTCCTAGCAAGAGAATTGTCCAGCAGACTGACTTTGGATTTCATCTGCAACATTGACTCTTCTTGATTTTACAGTAGGTGGCCTTCAAACTCAAGCTGGCATTCAGGTTCTCGTCAGCCCACCCTGCAGATTCTGGACTGTGGAGTCATAAGACCGCACAGTCTTATGAGCTAATTTCTCATAATGAATATTTTCTTTTTTTTTTTTTAAGATTTTATTTATTTATTTGACAGAGAGAGACACAGCGAGAGAGGGAACACAAGCAGGGGGAGTGGGAGAGAGAGAAGCAGGCTTCCCGCAGAGCAGGGAGCCAGATGCGGGGCTTGATCCCAGGACCCTGAGATCATGACCTGAACTGAAACCAAGTCAGATGCTTAACTGACTGAGCCACCCAGGCGCTGAGAAATATGAGTTTTTCTTACTGTCATTTGAACTCAGAGATTTAAAAATATTCAATGCTATTTTACTCCACTACTTTTCATTTTGATGTTCATATTGTCCCAGCTTTGGCCTTTCCAGGTTTGCTTCTCTGTTCTTTTGGTATGTCCATTGTATTCTTGGATCGCTTCCTTACCTTCTGGTGTGACAAGATGTCCAGGCTCATTGGGTTCATTTCTTGCCCCAGACCAAGAAGTAGCCATTTCACCAAAGAGCCCTGGTGCTTTTTATTTTGAAAGGGAAAGAGTATTTAGAGACCACAGTCTGGGTGCTGATGGGCATGGGAGAAGCTTAAAGCAGTTGGGTTAGTCATTCTGGCACGGTATTTTAAAACTTCAGTAAATGATTCGGGGTGCCTGGCTGGCTTAGTCGGTGCAGCATGCGACTTTTTTTTTTTTTTAAAGATTTTATTTATTTATTTGAGAGAGAGTGATGGAGAGAGAGCGAGAGAGCACAAGCCCAGTGGGGAGGGACAGAGGGAGAGGGACAAGCAGACTCTCCATTGAGCAGGGAGCCCGATGTGGGGCTCGTTTCCCGGACCCAGGATCACCACCCGAGCAGAAGGCAGATGCTCAACTGACGGAGTCACCCAGGCGCGCCTAGCATGTTACTCTTGACCTGGGAATCTTGAGTTCGAGCCCCATGTGGGGTACAGAGATTACTTAAAATCTTAAAAATAAAAAAACTTTGGGGGGGTCTTGGCTGGCTCAGTCGGTTAAGCATCTGACTTTTGATCTCAGCTCAGGTCTTGATCTCAGGGTTGTGAGTTTGAGCTCCACGTTGGACTCTGTGCTGGGCATGGAGCCAACTTAAAAAACTAAACTAATAAAAAAGTCAATAAATTAAAGTGTGGCATTAGCTCAGTAATAGACAATCAGTAGAACTGAAGTCTGGAAACAGATTCTGTACAGCCACAGAGCTAAACTATAGATAAGTAAATCTTTTGTGATAAAGATGTTAATTCAAATGTTTGGAGAAAGGAATGCATGACGTTGGAACAATGGACTATTCAGAAAAAAATCCCTATGTCCAAATAAATTCTGACATATAAAAGTGTAAACATAAAAAGCAAAATGTACGATAGTGCTTTGTAATTTTGGGCTAGGGAAGAAGTTCCTAATCAAGACATAAATCCTAGAAGATACGAAGAAAAATGAGAACTTTACAACAAAAGATAACATACACAAGCTATTACTGGTTGCAAGAGAATAATCTCAACATACAAAACAAAGCATTTCTGTCCATATGATAGAAAATGGTCTTTAAAAAAATCAGTAAGAAAAATTCTAATAATCCAGTTGAAAATGGGAATAGGATACTAGTAGATAGTTCACCAAGGAAATACAAATGATCAATTAATTTATGAATGCGGCTCAGACCCAGAACAGAAAAATGCAAATTAAAAAGAATATTTAAAATAAATAAAATAAATAAAATGAGAATATTTTTGCCCATCATTTGTCAATATGTCAAAATTTTGCCATTATTTGGTATTAATGAAGGATCTGAGGAAACAAATATTCGTATAAACTCTTTTTGAAAATATCACTGGCCTACTCTTTTTAAAGGAAATTTGGCAAGATCTACTAAAAATATGTGCAATGACCTCTGACCCAGCACACTTCTGGGAATACATCAGACAAAATTACTCACACATTTTCCCAAAAAATACGTTCACTAATATGTTTATTGCAACATTATTTATAGTAGCAAAAAATTGGAAACAATCTAAGCATTTATTATTGAGAGCAGTTAAATAAATCATTATTTCCCACTATATATGGCACTCTATGAAGCTGTCAAAATCAATGTGTGTCAAAATGGAAGAGATTTCCAAGACCCTATTATGTGCAAAAAGCAAATTACAGAAGAGTGTTATAACTGATCTCATTTGTGTGGTCCCTCATCTATTACGTGTGTATTTTATGCATAAATACATAGGGAAAAGACATGAAAGATAAACATAGAATTGTGAACAGTGATTGTCTCTTACAGGGAAATGGGAGTTGGAGAGGGTAAAAGGAAGTTTTCACTTTCCACTTTATATCTCTATTGTTAGATTTTTTCTTTTTACAACATGGCTGTATTATTACAAAGAGGAAACACATTAAATATTGAAATAGTCATTTTTCAGGTGATGAGTCTAATGGCAATTTTCCCTTCTTTTTCTATTTCTCTTTCTTTTTTAAAGATTTTATTAATTTATTTTAGAGGAGAGAGAGAGAGAGCGTGAGCAGGCGGGGAGGAACAGAGGGAGAGGGACAAGCAGACTCTTTGCTGAGCACGGAGCTTGACATGGGGCTCTATCCCACAACCCTGAGATCAGGACCTGAGCTGAAACCAAGATCGGACGTTTAACCGACTGAGCCACCCAGGCGCCCCTCTTCTTTCTATTTTTCTATATTTTCCAAATTTTGTACAATGAGCTAATATTTTTTACATAGTGGGGATTCTTTTAGTAAAATAACGGTACTGGGTGTCTGGCTGGCTCAGTTGGTAGAGCATTCAATTCTTGATCTCAGGGTCGTGGATTCAAGCCCCACATTGGGTATAGAGCTTACTATAAAAATAAATAAATAATGGTACTACCTTAAAAACATGCCAACTGAAGGAAGCCAGTCACAAAAGACCACATATTATTTGATTCCATTTATATAAAATATCCAGTACAAGCAAATAGAGACACAAAGTAGATTCAGTGTTGTTTAAGACTCAGGTGGTGTGAAGTGGGAGGGGTGTTGGGAGTGATAGCTAAAGGGTGTGGGGATTTCTTTTCGAGGCGACAAAAATGCTCTAAGATTGTGGTGATGGTTGCACATTTCGGAGTATGTGAAATCTGAAAAACCATCTAATGATACATCTTAAATGGGTGAATTGTATGGTGCATGGATTCTATGTCATTGAAGCTATTTCCAAAAAATCTTTTAAAAACCAGTGCTACCGATAATCATTTTATACATAACTAAGAAGCCCAGTCCTTTGGCCGAGGGTCCTTACTACACCATACACACTCACTAACTCTTCTGCTGATGACTGTTTCTAGCTCAGAGGTGGAGACATGATGGCTACACTCATTTGAGCACCTGTCCCTTTGGTCAGATGCTGTCGGGGAACGCCAGCCATCCCCAAGAACGGTACCATCTTCTGTTTGTCCTGCTAAAGCGTTCTCCCCTCGTTCTAAGAATCAGACCATTTCAGAGAGTCATGACCCTTTGCAATGATCTATAAGATTGCAATTATCAACAATTAGTTTCTGGCACATCATGGGGATTAAAACTGGCTTGTTGGCAATTCGGTGGTTGTAAGAATACTACTAAAAACATGGGCGCCTGGGTGGCTCAGTTGGTTGAGTGGCTGCCTTCGGCTTGGGTCGTGATCCTGGAGTCCCTGGATCGAGTCCCGCATCGGGGTCCCTGCTCGGCAGGGAGTCTGCTTCTCCCTCTGACCCTCCCCCCTCTCGTGTGCTCTCTCTCAAATAAAAATAAATAAATAAAAAATCTTAAAAAAAAAGACTACTACTAAAAACAAAAATAAAAGGTGACATTTATTGAGTACTTACTATGTGCCAAGTGTTGTAAGTATTTTATGTGTGTAACTGGTTATCTGTGCAGAAGCTAAGAAGTCTTTTTCTGTGTGACTGAACAACACGATTCAAAATTTAATGAGCCCTTGCTATGTGCAAGGCTGAAGTATGACAAAGAACTAACTAGAGAAAAGTCACAAATTCTGAATTATCTGTTAAGGTATAATAAAAGACCATGATCCTTTTTCATAATTCTGAAACCCAAAAGGCTCTGAAAATCTATAATTCTCTTGATAACTCATTTGGCAGCCAAAAAAAAAAAAATCTGACCTCAATTGATGACAGGTTATAGACATTTTTTTAGTGTAAATATTCATACATTTTGCTGTACATATATAAATGTTTGATTATGGGGATCTGCCCCACACTCCACCAGGGTATTATGTAACATATGGGATTTCAGATCTGATTCTTATTTGCATTTCATTTGTAAATACACACACACACACGGATACATTTAATTGCAAGAAACCGTTGCTTCTGTTTTGAAAGCACCAGTAAAGATGGATAATGTAACAATCTTGTGACAACCATAGTTCTCATTCTCATTCTTTTTATTCATTACTTAAAATCAAGTAACACTAATAACGTACTTCAAAAAATGTATACCATGTCTTTCTTCCATTGGCTGTCACTCGAAAAGAAACTGGCAAGAGATGACTGTAGCAAAACATGTTTGTTTCTCCATGGAAAGTAGAAATTAAAACCATATATATGGAATCCACATTTAATAGGATTAATTCAACATAATAATCATGAATTACATCGATAAGACAATGTTTTAGGCACTATTTAAAAAAAGACAAAGAAATTTTCCAGAGAGATATAACAACAAGGAGCACTAATTTAAAATATAATCTTTAAAATTTTTCTTTTCTCTTCATTTATTCTATGCCATGATGATGTGTAGGAAGCGAATCAGAGTCTGTAATGATTGCTATAGATTGTCACAGCTCAACACTCACGTGTCTACTTTTATCAGTGATTAGGATTATAGAAACACCAAGTCATGTAGCAGTTCATCCAAGTTCAGGAGAAAAGTTTGTTATTGGGGTGAAGACTGGTCACTCAGGAAAGTTTAGTGAAAACATGGGGATTTAGAAAGATTTTGAAGCAGAGATGGCTATTTATCAGCTGTGGAATTTCCAAGAGCTAGCTCTTGTTCGGAATGTATTCTATTTTAAAATACAAAAGGATCTAACTTTAAAGATTTTATTTATTTGACAGAGAGAGACACAGCAAGAGAGGGAACGCAAGCAGAAGGAGTGGGAGAGGGAGAAGCAGGCTTCCCGCAGAGCAGGGAGCCCGATGCGGGGCTCGATGCGGGGCTCGATCCCAGGACCCTGGGATTATGACCTGCGCCGAAGGCAGACACGACTGAGCCACCCAGGCGCCCCAAAGGATCTAACTTTAAAGCCTTTATATTCTTTCTTCTTCTTCTTCTTCTTTTTTTTTTTCTTAAAGATTACATGTTTCCTTTGCATTTCCAACTAAATCTCTCCAGGCAGTTACGGGGGTAACAAATGAATTAGCTTCCGAAATGGGTCTTTAGTCTTTCAAATCCTTATCACTCTGCCAGACCTAAGGAAATTATTTAAACACAGTGCACTCTTTGAAGTCAGTGGAAGCTTTGTACTTGATTGAACCAAAGGCAATATAAAATCAAAAGCACTCTTAAAAGGATTTTATTAATCCATAGATTCAGTTTTTGAATGCTGTAAAGTTGGATAAACAGATTGGTAAAGTTATCTTAACAATAAAAAAGGCTGCTTTGGTTGCCACTAAAAAAAAATCATGGAGGACTTGGAGGCTTTTGGAAACCTAGTATAAACTTTCAAAGAAATCCTGATCGCTACTATTATGTCTATAAAGGCCACATTTAAAAGCATCCTGTTTACAAAATCATTTTGGCTTAAGCTTACCATTTAATGAACTCTCACATTTACCACATGTACTGAAAGCGCTAACGCGACTCAAGATGAGAAGTGTTTGTCAGGGACAAGTGTATTATGTGATCAGATAGTTTTTCATTTCTTCTTTATCATGTTTATTTAAAATACTTAGTAATTAGCTACATCATCCATTCATTTTGAATTTTAAATTTAAATAGGTTTAAATTTAAATTAAGTAAATTTTAAATTAAATAATTTCAATTATATCTGATTCAAGAATATCTGACTTGTAAGACACTTAGTCAAAATGTTTTGCCTGGAGCAAGTATTTTTACTGTTTTGGCGTCATTATCCATTATCCATATTCTCCATAATTATGTGTAAGAAAATAGTTATTTTATACATATGTATATATATGGATAAAAATATCTGGCTAAGGTTATATAGATGTTTGGCAATCTTGCATAAGAACTCAGAGCTTTGTAGTTATTGTTCATTTTAGTGTTGTTGTACCACAAACAACTCTTCTATAACCTCAAAATGCTACGGCCCAGTTTTAGTATTTTGTGGACTCAGCTGGATCATATTTTCCCTTGCTTTACCACACACGCACACACCCCTGACACAGCAGAGTAATGGAAAGAACCCTGACTAGGCAGAGTTCTAGGCTTGCTTCTGCTTTTGTGTGACCTCGGTGAAGTATCAACTTCTGGGGGGCCCTGCGTTTCCATTTGTTTCGCCTGACTCTTTAGTTCTATTCTAAATCTTGGAACACATCATACCCTCCAGGCCAAATATTAGTTTTACCCCAACGTTAGTATTATAAAGGGTGTCCACTGAAACTTAAATCGTATTTTATAGTTTAGCTGTTTAACTTTACAATTAGGCCCAGGGGACCGTACTTTAAATTGTTGTTAGATACTCAGTTTCTGAGTTGGTGCCATTCTGGACTGATGGAAAACTGTAATACAAGATTTAAAATTGTAGCAGTAAAAATAGATGACTTTACATTTGGGGGGACAGCTATTCTCATCTGATCAATTACAGTTTGAACTCACTCGAGTGAAATTAATACAAGGATATCAAGAAAATGTTGACAATAGAACTAGTCACAATCTTACAGTGATGTTATAATTTATATTCTTCTCTCCATAAGCACTATTAAAAATACTTCCATGAACCTAGAAAATGTACAAGTATTTAAAATATAATTAAATATCTACTTCAAAGATGCACAAAAACCACATTCAAACAGGACTTCTGATTGAATTAAGTCTCCTGGGATTTCCCTCCCTATCATTTCCACCTTGGAGGAGTGGTGTTTCAGAGCAAGAGGGCAGAGGGCATACACGAACCCCCAGGTCCACAAAAGCATGCACCTTCCTTTTTTTTTTTTAAGATTTTATTTATTTATCTGACAGAGAGAGAGAACAAGTAGGCAGAGAGACAGGCAGAGGGAGGGGGAGAAGCAGGCTCCCCGCTGAGCAGGGAGCCCGATGTGGGGCTCGATCCCGGGACCCTGGGATCATGACCTGAGCCGAAGGCAAACGCTTAACCAGCTGAGCCACCCAGGCGCCCCAAGCATGCACCTTCTTTTGCTCCCTCTGCAGAATGTGGGGGCGAGGGGAAAGAATATGAGAAAACAAAATTCTCATCCGTTGTAAATATAATACTATGTTTAGGTAAATTAAGGGAGGATAAATATTATTATTTTTTTTTACAGATTTTATTTATTTATTTGACAGAGAGAGAGATAGCAAGAGCAGGAACACAAGCAGGGGGAGTGGGAGAGGGAGAAGCAGGCTTCCCGCCAGGCAGGGAGCCCGATGCGGGGCTCGATCCCAGGGCCCTGGGATCATGACCTGAGCCGAAGGCAGACGCCCAACGACTGAGCCACCCAGGCGCCCGGGAGGATAAATATTTCAAAGAATGGTTAAAAACGTGGTACCTTATACAAGGAATTGTTGTTATTTTAGTCCTAGCCGATGATATGTCTGAGATTGTTTATTTGTAAACGAACAGTGCACTTTTAAATCCACTTTACTATTCAGTATTAACAAATTAACTCATGAGAACATAATGCCTGATAAAATCTTTTCAGTCAGACTACACAGGCACAAAAAACCCATTTTAAACTGTCAAGAAAAATGAGTCCTATTGATATACGTGGACATGAAGGTCAGCTACACGCTAACAAAGTGAGAAAGGGAGTAATTCTGTAGACACTTGAGTTTCAAGAAAAAGTTGTCTGCTTTGCCTGATAATTTAGCAAAATACCCGATCTGGTAGCGTAGCGAGTAAGCATAGTGCTCTGAATTAAATACCTTACAAAACAGCGTTAGCGTGGGCTTGTAACTCTTTCTCCAACGTTTGCGTTGCATCGTTCTGCCATCCATGTTGCTATTTATCCTGAGATGACACCCAATCTGTTCCCGTTAGTTCTTTGGCCTGTTTGAAATCAGCAGAAGCACTCTTTTCTGGGCTTCACTGCCTCTTCGGAAGAATGCACAGTATTTGGAACAAAACCACTCCTTACCCCTTCCCAGCCATCTTGAATACAAATGTCCCCCCTTTTAATAAGTTCATAAATGTCTCTTGTCAAGATCGTAAAGGACTCCTCGACGTTTGTGGCATCTTTTGCGGAGGTTTCTATATACTTCATACCACAGTCTGCGGACAGGTTTTCGGCTTCTTCCCTAGTCACCTGTCGCTGTGAAGCCAAGTCACACTTGTGTCCCACCAGCAGAAACACAATCCGAAACGGCTGCACGTGCATTTTTGCCTCTTCTAGCCAATCCTTCACATGTTCGAAAGAGCGTCGGTTGGTGATGTCAAACACTAAAAACCCACCAACTGAGTTGCGGTAATAAGATCGAGTTATTGATCTGAAAAATAAGTAGAAAAACAGGTTGTCAAAGGACACATTGTTCTGCTTCTCCTCTTCCAAGCAATGCAGCACCGTAATAAAATGTGAAGCTAACCTGACGTGACTTAACCCGAATTTATAGATCAAATACGAAGTGTCTTAAGTGGACAAAAATATTATGAAACTAACCAGCGAGCCAGTTTCATCCGACAGAATATTAAAGTGTAGTTATTCTTAGATAGACTAAAGGACTTACGTCGTATGTCATCTCGCACTTACGATGATTTGTTTTTATTTTCAAGTATCTGATAGAGTAATTATTACATTACTGGGATTAAAAATAGGAATATAGAAAGTTTTGGTGAAGGGCAGAGGTTGCCCAGTTGCCGTGAGGTCCAGCCCATGGAAGCACCAGCTGGGGACCAGAGGAAAGAGGTCGGGTATCTACCCTTCTCTTTGTCTCGGCCTGACCGTGGGTGAGGAGCAGCTGTGTTCTTGTTTCTGGTCATGGTTCCCGTTGGGTAGCGCCTTTCTAATGGGTTCCACTGGGTTCGGGTGTCCCATTCTCTCTCCTCTTTTGGCCAGGTGGTGAATGGCTTCTCATCATTGCTAACTCCGAATGCCTCACCATCCTTTGTTGATGCCCTTCACCTTGCCCACATTTCCAGAAATGCTCACTTCCCACCTCATTAAACTTTTAGTTAACTCTTCAAGTGTGCTGTTTGTTTCCTGATTGAATCATGAGGCAAGGTGGCAAGGCCATACTCTTTTATATTTCGTGCCTTTACATGATATTTTTTCTACCTAGAATGTCTTCTACCCTTTTCTGCCTAGCTACCTCCTATTTCTCCTTCAAGAATCAGTTTAAAAATCATATATATGAGAAGCCTTCCCTGCCACTGGCCTCTTGTTCTCCGCCCCTCTTAGGCAATCCTCTTACAATCCCACTGAGCTGTTGGCATACTGCCATTGTGAGTATTTCCGTTTTCACAGCGTGCTGATTGGATTGGTGGGTACGTCTCCCACTCAATTCAAGTCTCCTTGAAGGTCGTGTTTCCCTTAAGTACCTAACAATCATACTGCCTGGCAAATGACAGATGTCACTTAATATTTGTTATACAGGATTGATTGATCTTATTGGAGAGGGAAAGTGCTCAGTGCTGTATGTGGGATGGCATGTGCTTCAGTTTTTAAGCTGTCAATGATCTTGAGCATTGAAATGATCCTTAACTAAGCTCATCTGACCCCCAAAGACCTTTGTGGGGGGTCAGTAGGGCACCTGGTACTCTCTCCGCTTCTTGTATACCTTCATTACCCTTACTGCTGAAATCACAGCTCAGTTCAGTGACCCAATATCGCAACACCATTTGTGTGGGCATGTGAAGAAAGTACTTCACCTCTTTTTTCTTTCCCTTTCGTTTGCTTCCCTGCTTCTCCTCAGAATTTTTTTTTTTTTAAGATTTTATCTATTTATTTGACAGAGCACGCACAAGCAGGGGGAGCAGCAGAGGGAGAGGGAGACGCAGGCTCCCTGCTAAGCAGGGGGATCCCAGGACCCTGGGATCATGACCTGAGCTGAAGGCAGACGCTTCACCGACTGAGCCACCCAGGTGCCCCAGAATTCTTTTTTTTTAAAGATTTGTTTACTTTAGAGAGTGTGTGAGAGACCAGGGAGAGAGGCAGAGTGAGAGGGAGAGAATCCCCAGCAGACTCCCCTGACACGGGGCTCGATCTCATGACCCTGAGATCACGACCTGAGCCAAAACCAAGAATCGGATGCTTAACCGACTGGGCCATTCAGGCGCCCCCTCTTCAGAATTCTTAGTAGAAAGATTCTCAAGTGACTTAGGAATATTTTCTCAAGGACTATTGTATTACATACCCACCAACAGTAAGAAAAATCTCCCAGTATCTTTGGCAGGCTTCAAACAATGCAGTTCATTTAAGTTGCTGCTTTTTTTAAAAAATTGAGGGATAATTTGTTATTGTTTTGTGATTTATCTTTATATATGTGAATTTAGGCAGATGTGCAGTGCCTTAAAAGAAACGTAATTAAGGCTATGTTATTAGACTGAAAGCTTTAATTTACTCAGCACCAAGTCTGCATTACTTTTATCCTCCCTCCTATTTAATCTACCATTAGTTTAATTTACAAAGACACGCTTTTGTGGTTGAACACTCAATGATGAAATGCTTGTACATTAAGCAGAGGTATATTTTACTCCGTAGAAAATGCCTTGTTTTCTAGCCCTTTGTATTTAGTTTTGCAAAGACACTGGGAATACAGTTGGCAAATTATTCTATAGAATGAAATGATAGCCAAGTATACGCCATGTACACTATAAAAAGCCCTTACTAACGATTAGTTGGAATAAATGGTCTCAATATGACATCTGTCATTTTCTATATAGTAACTTGATCTTCAGTCTCTATGTGTGGGTATGGATATGAGGTTTAGAATTCTGATACGGTTAGGTTTCAGATTCAGGTATGGTTGGCCCGGGGCGGGGGAAAGTTTCCCTTAAAACAACTGGGCATCCCTGCTGTCAATTATTTAGGGGAAAATCCAGGGCTACAGACTGAAAACTGGGCCTTGAAAGGCAGGTCTTACAGAAGGGGATGAGGAACATTTGTCTTTCTCTGGACTTGCTCTCTTGGGGAACACTGAGGTCTCCAGAAGTTCTCGAAGGGTTACAAGAATTGGGTACAGATCCTAAAAGAACTATGTAGGTCAGCCTCCCTATAGGGAATTCCAGAGTTAAGGATGAGTAACAGTTCTTTATAAGCAACAACATCGTGCTGCAGGTTACTTTAACTATTTCCTCCTGGGCTTTGAAAGTCTCATTGAATGAATGGATGATTTAAAGGGGAAAAAAATTAGGGGAGGGGGAAATGGAAGGAAGGAGAGAAGGAAGGGAGAGAGAAATGAATGGATTTCAACCTGGTCTCAGGGGTGTTATGGGAAAACTAAGAGTTATGAGGCTACCCTCTGGCAAGATTGGAAAGCGGATACAGCACCCGCTAAATCCAGCATGATGCTGGTACAATAGGGAAGGTGAATCATGGGGGACAGCTTGAGGGATACCAGTTCTCAGCAGACCCTTGTCCCTCCCAAGTGGAAGATCTGATTTTTGTGTGGTTTTTTTTTTAAGATTTTATTTTTGGGGCTCCTGGGTGGCTCAGTCGGTTGAGTGTCTGCCTTCAGCTCAGGTCATGATCCTAGTGTCCTGGGATCGAGTCCCCGCATCAGGCTCCCCTACTCTACCTCTCCCTGTGCCCCTCCCCCTGCTCATGCTCTCTCTCTTGCTCAAACAAATAAATAAAATCTTTTTTTTTTTTTAAGATTTTATTTATTTATTCATGAGAGACAGAGAGAGAGAGAGAGAAGAGAGGCAGAGGGAGAAGCAGGCTCCCAAGAAGCAGGGAGCCTGATGCGGGACTCGATCCCAGGACGCTGGGATCATGACCTGAGCCGAAGGCAGACGCTTAAACATCTGAGCCACCCAGGCGCCCTAAATAAAATCTTTTAAAGAAAAAAGATTTTACTTTTGAGCAGTCTCTACATCCAACATAGGGCTCAAAGTCACAACCCCAAGATCAAGAGTTGCACACTCTACCGACGGAGCCAGCCGGCACCCCAATCTGGCTTTGAGTATAAAGAAACCTACTGGGTCTTTTACGCTTTGACCACTACACTATTAGCAACTCCTATCCCACATTCAAAGACTAGTCTCCTGGCAGAATGTTTTCCCCTCCTCTCGCCTTTTTGACACCTGCTGTATGTAATTTCATTTCCTGACCACACGGCTTCCCCTGCAGCATGCTCAAGCTGCTCATTCTATAGGATCAGGAGGAGGTGGCTTCTGCTTCCCCAGTGCCACTTCCAGATAATTCTCTCCCAACCCCTGTCATAAAAAAAACAAAACAAAAACCCCCCAAAAACCCACATCCCTCCCCCTCCCCCCGCCTCAAACTTCCCTACTTCTTTGAGGCTTTTGCCATCTGGCTCTATCATCTGTTGTCATCTGCCAAGTGCTTGGTCATTCTCTGTGTGCTGAAGACGTTAGCACTTTGCTTTGTTTTTTTTTCCATCTCAATTCCTGTCATTCTGCTCACTCGTTTGGATGGGCTGTCTGCTGTCATCTCTGTTACTTGACTTCCTCATTGCTAATGAACTATCCCCTCCATTCTGCCTTTCTCCTCTACTTCCTTTTCATCATCAGAAATTCACTACTTCCAAACCTTCAGATTTACAACCTACTTTTTTTTGATCAAAATCTCACAGCCTGCAGCCTATTTTTAGTGACAATTTTAAAATTGTATCCACATTTGTAATCTACTGAGTAATTCTATTACTTTCTACCCAGTACATTAATACCCTCCTATTTTTACCTCCTTGTTCTGTGAGACATCACTATAATTGGTCTCTTGGAAATATCTAAATTCCCAAGGTCCTCCCCCACTGCTACACTCATCGGGGAAAACTCTATCTCTGGATCAGTCCGGCATGCCACTAAATGTTTCTGGGGATAATCACTCAGGTGGCAGGCTGGTGTCCCCATGAATTAATTATAACCCATCCCAAGTAGACACTCAACACTGCCAAGGAATACTGCTCGTATCAGGAGAAACTCTTCTCCCCCTTCCCTCACACTTAGACTTCTACTATAGGAAGAAATAGGATTTCCCTTTCAACCTTTTTCTCCTCACAAAAGAGGACTCCTCTCCTCTTATTGGACACCTCTATTGAAGGGAAAATGGCAGTCGTTCGGTTAGAGTCTGTTTCTCAGGTTAGTAACTCTTGCACACCATCCTTCTCCACCCCTTTCCACTTTCTGAATTCAGGATATTGGTTTGCTGGGTTGCTAATTGTGAAAGGTAGGTAGGTGCCCTGTCTGTGCTCGTCACTGAATATCCAGTGGTTCTCAAGGGCCTGGCACACGGTGGGCACTCAAGACATTCTTGGTGAGGGAATAAGTGGTTGATTTGGTAAAGCCATGAACACAGCCACTGGGGAAA